CAGTGGGGGCCCTGTAGGACAGTATCATTTCCATCAACCTCGGCACCCTCACCTCTAGCCCAAATACGGTCATTTGACACTTTACCAATCTTCCATAAAGTGCTATATGGTCTCAGCTTCCAGACAAGCCCTTAATCTGCCCTTTTCCAAATGAAATGCTCCTATAAAAAGAAATTCTGGGAGTGAAACTGAATCTAACTGTGCTCTAACCTTCACATGTAAACCATTCTGATCATAAGAATAATCTTATTTTTAACAGCAAAAGTAATCTAGTGAGCCCTTAAATAAAATATCCAAACTACTGAGTATTCCATCAAGGCTACTTTTAGTGAGCATTTTTTAAAAATTCATTTCCTGTTTGGGAATAATGTCAAAATCTTAGAGAGGTGTCACTCAGCAGAGGACAAGAGCAAGTGGCTGCCAATTAACAGTGTATGTCACACAGCATTTTATATGAATGATCTCAAAACTTTAAGAAGAACAATGTGGACATGCAACAGTGCAGATATTATCTACAGCTTGTCAAATTCTCACCAGTTGAGCACATCCATGTGACCAACGTGGATGAAGAATATGACCAGCATTCCAGAAGCTTCTCTGTGGCCTTTTCCACTAACTCCCAGTAAAAATAAATCTCAACTTCTACTAATATAGATTAACTTTGCATGGATGGTTTTTCATACTTGAGATAGCTGATATCACCCCACTTTATCGATTTAAAAATAAAAAACAAAGGGGTAGAGAGGAGTTTAATAATTTACCCTAGAAAAAAAACACCTGGATTTGAACCTGGATTATATAACAACAGAACTGGGTTGGCAGGAGGCTGAAGGTAACTGTAATTTACCCATTTTGTAAGGACTTTGTTTATTCTAAAAGTTTTATTGAACTTCTGACAGTTACTTCATCACAAAGGTCATTGGAACAAGTGAAAAGGAAAGGTCACACACCCAGAAGAAAATAGGACATGAAACCTTTTGCACTGTCCAGGTCCTGGGGGATATTTTTCTGAATCCTTTTTTCCCACCCTAGTGGCCTCAAACTCTTGCATACTAACGTGCCTTTTATCAAACTTTGCTCTCAGGAAGGGAAAGAAAAAAACTCATTTGCACTGAGGTAAGTTATATGCTTTTTACTAAGAATAAATCCCACAGCCATTTAGGTGAGGAATAAATCTCTAATTCCGGAACTTAAAGCCTTAGCCAGTCAAATGAAGAGAATGACATCGAGGGTCAGTGGGTCAGTAGGTCCTTCCCCTGACGCGTGACACTGTACCACAAAGGCAAATAATGCAAGGAGCCCAGGCTAAGAACGTTGAGTTGACAAAGAGCCAAAGAATTTGATTCTCTGGAGAGTTCACGACAGTGTTAATGACCAGTGTCCCAAATATGAGACATGTTGTACAAAACTCTGGGAAGACACGCCGGTCAGGGGCTTCCCTCACTCTAAGATTCTCGTCACACGATCAGCTTCCCTCCGAGCAGCAGAGCACCACGAGCGGCAGCTTTCTCAACCTCTGTCTCATCTCACGTGAGCCTCAAAAGTCCTGTTGGATTCTTATAGTGCACGTTCTTCTCCGCCTGCTCCCCATTCATTCACCCACCCATTCATTCAATAAATATTTTTCAAGCTTTTACTTTGTGCCAGGCTTTGAAGCAGGGTTAACAAAGATAGTGGTGAGCATTACCTCCATTTTATTGAAGGAGAAATTGAAGACCAAAGGGGACAAATTCAATATGATATTCTAAATTCAGTAACGCTAGCTGACTTTCAAGGCAGTACGTCAATAAACCCTCACAACTCTCTGAGGTGGACGCAATTATTAGCCATCCTCATTTTATGCATAGTGAAATTGAGGACCAGACAGGAGTTAAGAGATGACCTGAGTTCTTGCTTGTGGGGATGGATAGGCCAACGCATACCATCTTCCATAGAACTGGTTGAACATCTATGAGCCCCTCTGGAAGCTGAATGGAGATCGTGAGAGCTTTGACTCTGATGCAAATAATACAAAGGCAAGAGCTCTCAATACGAGCAGTGGGAGTCTGTGAAATTATTTGGTGGGCTCAGCATAGGCCTTGCTATTCAAGATAAACATCTTTTTTTCTTTTATTGAGTTTATTGGTACATTTTAGGTACACAGTACAGTTACACTAATTATTGAGATATTGTACCTTTACATGACAGGTCTTGGTTCTCATTTTTTCCCCTTGTCCCTGCCCTCCCTTCACCTCCTCCTCCCCTCCCCATTTACAAACACTTTATTTCCATTTTTTCATTTTCTCATATTTTTTTCCTTATTACCTTTCCCCTACCCTTCCCACTTTCCCTACACCTTTAGCCCTTTTCTTCCCATTTCACAATGTCAGTTATCTCATTAGGATCTTATGTACTGTTACAGTTTATTCACACCAGAGAAACTATTCAGTATTTACACATGTGACTTATTTATTTCACTTAGGAGTATATCCTCAATATGTATCCATTTTCCTATGGATGAGTCTAATTTCTCATTCTTTATGGCTGAGTAGTATTCCATTTTATAGTATGGACATACCTCAAAGAGCTGGGACTAGAAGTTCATTTGACCCAGCCATCCCTCTTCTGGGTATCTTTCCAAAAGAATTAAAAGAATCATACCAGAGTGATATATGCACACCCTTGTTTATAGAGGCACAGTTTGTAATAGCTAAAACATGGAAACAGCCCATTTGCCCATCAGTTGGAGACTGGATAAAGAAGATGTGGTTTTTCTACAAGATAAACATCTTTCAGTGCATCTCTTGAGAAATAGCTCTTCCAACCACATGTCAAATATATCTATTCAAATGGAACTAGAAAATAAACCCCTGGAATATGGAAACTCGGCCCCCTAACCTTGGACTTCTTTCTCTGTCTCTAGACTATAAGAAACAAATCTCTGTTCTGCACAGTTTCCCCAGGCTCAGACGTTCTGGTATAGCAGTGTGAAACAAACTGTAACCACCCAAATTGTAATTTTGCAAGGATGTCTGGCCAAAGCATTGAGAACAGATGGAAGGAGAAGGATACTAAAGGAAGGCAAGCCAGGTAGGGGCTGTTGCAGAGAACAGGTGAGAGATAAGAGTGGGCAGGACCAAGGTGGTAGCATAAGGACATGGAAGGAACCCAAAAGGGATTCAGTTAAAGCCTGGTGACTAGTAAGTGAAGAAAGAGGCAAAGGGAAATGTGGAATGGCTTCCAAAATCCTGGCAGGGCAATTGGGTGAATAGTGGTACAGATTTATAAAGATAGTGTGCAGCTTTGTGCTGAGCATGATACATGAATTAACAGTCCCATGTCATAGTGTTATTCTTATCTCAGTTTTATAGACTAGGAATCTGAGGCACAAAGAGGTAAAGTTACCCAAGGTAACACAACTAGTAAGTGACTAAGTCAGGATTTAGATTTTGGCAGCCTCACTACAGCATGCACATTCTTAGCCAGTTGCACTGAACCACAGTCTGCTGAAATGGAGAGTATAGAATGAGTAGCAAATTTTGTTAAGCACATGACAAAGCACTGGGACCTGTTGAGTTTGAGATGCCTGTACGAGGTCCAGACAAAATCTAAAAGGTTGGGGATGGGTTAAACTACTGGTTTTTAAAATATGACCTATGTGACATCACTGGCTGCTGTGCGGGAGGCAGGAGCCTGGGTGGATTTGCCTGAGGCAGCATTGCACAGCCTTGGTGCTCCACAATCTTTCATGACTTTTCCCACAGGTTCCCACTCCACCTGCCTTATGCAGAAAGAATGCCAGACATACTCAGCTGTCTCACCTTTGACAGAGGAGCCAAACACCCTCATTGGAGGAAAAATAGCTATTTAATAAATGGTGATGGAGGGCTGAGGATTTAGCTCAGTGGTTCTGCCACCTGCCTCACAAGCACAAGGTCCTGAATTTGACCCCTAGAACCACCAAATAAATAAATAAATAAATGGTGCTGGAAAAACTGGATTTCAACTTGTCAAAGATTAAAACTAGACAGTATCTTTCACCATGCACTAAACTAAAATCCAAGTGGATTAAAGATCTAAATATTGAAAGAGAAACACTAAACTTGCTGGAAGGTAAATTAGGTAAAACTCTTGAAGATATTGACAGAGGAAAAGACTTTATGAACAAATCTTCAGGAGCACAGGAACTAGCACAAAGAATCAACAATTGGGATTTCTTCTTTTTAAAAGCTTCTGCACTGCCAGAGAAATCAGCAGCAGAGCTAAGAGACAACCCAAAATGTGGGAAAAAAATTTTACCAGCTGTTCCTCAGACAAAAGTCTATTATCTAGAATATATAAAGAACTAAAAAAAAAAAAATCAGACCCCCCCCAAATACTCGCAGTGGTCCGTGCCTTAATACCATCTTTAAAAATTTTTGTATGCTGTACTACATTTGTATAGAGGCTTTGGTTTTTTTGTTTTTGTTTTTTAAGGATATATTTTCAGTATGAAGGTTATTTTCTTAACTTCTGCACTCCAGATATTTCTATTTTGTAGTATCTTCAATAATATTTCAGCTATATATTTAAAAATAAAAGCACACTTGAGCAGCTAGGGAGCTATTTTGAAGAATATATTCAATATTTAAAGATATAAACCGTAGTGCTTTAAAATACTACATAAGATGTTATTTTAAAGGTGATACTGGAAAGTGCAATTTTGAAATGAGCAAAACCTCTGCTGTATTTCCACCAGCATTAAGGACTGACGGTGTTACTATCGATTAAACACTCGATCTCTCCTTAGTCCAACACGGGAAAGACTCACAACTGTTTCCACACACTGGAAAGCTCTCGCCTGCCACGATTTCCTGGGCTCCTGTGCCTTCCTTGTTCACCATGCCCACCACCATCCCCTACCCCCCACCCTCACCCGCCTTCTGAGTTTGGCAACTCTGGGACAAATGAAGAACTCTGATAGAGATAACAACCGGTGGCTTTTGTACTTCTTCCTGGGTTTTTGTAGGAGTTTTTCGTTTTGTTGTATTTTTTTGTTGTTGTTCTGGTTGGGAAGCTATTCTATATGTGCTCTTTTCCATAGCAGAGTACCTGGGAACACAAGGTTTTAATGTTTGCATAAGACATCTTTGCATAGCTATTTAATTGTCCAATAGAAAAACTTTCATTCCCTCTCTAATGCTTTTATTTTATTTGTTTTTGAAGTATGACTTTTAGAGACAAAGAATGTATATTATTGTAGACAAGACCCTAAAGACTCTTGTTGGCAGAAAGTTAAACTTCTGGTTGCCTTATTATGTTTCATGCAAAACGTGTGTGGGCAGCCAGGGCCCCCGCAACACCTCAGCTGGGGAGCAGGGCTTCTCCTGACACGCCGGCCACTTGGAGGGTGAACTCGGGCCGGCGCAGGTACAGGAGGACGAGAGACTCGGAGGAGTTAAGAGAATATGTAAATATCCTTTCCTGCTTAGTTCTACTCCTTTTATGTTGCAGAAGTTCCACTTTATGTAGTTTAATATAAAAATGAAACCATTTTATTTCAATGTTGTTAGAAGGGTTCTATTAGGAAGTGAATATGTTGTTGCAGTGTTTTGTGCCTGTTTAAAGGCTTTTGTTTAGCAGAATGAATGTAAAATACAGTAACATCTTCAGATCGTCATCTATTTTATGAACTCCGTCAAGCTTGGATTGCTTTAAAAGGCTCTGTCAAGGAATGAGGTGTGCAATAGGTAGCAAATCCACAATCGTGTGTCTGTGTCACGTTAGAGGACCATCAGATCCTTCTGCTCGCTGGAGCTTTGTTGATGGCTGAATTCTTATTTGTGAATTAAGAATAGGATCATGCCCTTAGCAAATACTTTTAGAGTTTTTTTTTTCAATAAAGAGATTCCCAAATGCCTTTTCCCCGCTCAGCCTGATGAGTTTTTATATATAAGGAATATTTATTTTAACTAGTCTATGAAATTATTGAGTGCCTGCCGAGGCCTTTAAACATTCCTGACGTTCCTTTCACATCAGTCTTAAATGACAGAAGGTTATTGTGCAATGTTCCCTGTGAGGTACGCAGCAAGCTGCATCCAAACTCAAATCTGTTGGAACGAATATTCCAACAAAATGCAATGTGGATCGGATCCTCATCCCTTGACTTGTGTGAAAGAAGTACTGTCCTCCCAGGGAAGGATTTCACAGAGGTTCACTGGATGAAACTCGACCCAGCGTTCTTACTGTATTTTACATGTTACTGTAAGTTATTTGCAAAAAAGAAGGAAAAAAAAAAGCAAAAAAAAAAAAAATGGTGTCTTAACCTGTCCACTACCAAACTACCTTAAAAACAAATGTTGGTGATGGCCAGTTAAGTACCACTGAGCCTTCTACCTGTGGTCTTCTCTGTTTCTGTTGTTTCAAAACCATTTCATTGTACACTTAAGCCTAGTCTTTAGGAAAAGATAAACTTATCTACAAGTGCAGCTTCTTTTCTGTGAGCTTTTAGTGTGTTTTCACATGCACCTTGGGGAATGGCACTGAAGGGAGAAAAGCTGAGGGTGTGTTCTGAGCCTGGACCTCGTGGCAGCAGGAGTCAGGCTGGCGAAGATGTGTGCCCCAGAAAGTTTAAAGAATCCTGGCTACAAGGCCATCTGAAGAGGAAGGAAGAAGCTCACCAGCTGTCATGAGAAGTCAGCTGTACCCTTGTGTGTTCCTTGGTTTGGTCCTGGGGGTCAGAGCCAGGGCCTCACACGTGCTAAGGCCCCACTGTAGCACTGAGCCTCACACCCAGCCCTCTACTACACCTTTCTAATTCTGTAGTAGCCACTTCACTTTTTATTCCAAAACTGTCATGGCAAAATCCATAAGCACTTATTTAGCAGCATGAACAATTAGCACAGTCTGACATCTTTTGTGTACTACTTTAATAATTACATATCTATCTTTCTAAAATTTTGGGGCACTCAATCTCTGTATCAGAGTTACGCTATTTTTCTAATCATGTGGGATGTGTCATTTTGCCATGGTTGTGTTGATGAAGTGACACTTTGACACTGTGACCCTAAAAATAATTAAATTTTCAATTTTTGAAGAATAACTTAGATGACACAGATGTACTTGCTTTGTCCTTGTCCTACCTCTCTTTTGGGGTACTGACCATTTCTGACTCCCCAAGGCCAAAGGTAGGGTTAACTTTAAAGAAAGAAAAAGACTCAGGGGCCACCCACAGTATGTTTTGCTTTGATTCCGAGGTCTAAACATTCAGACTAGCTACAGTCCTTTCTCCTTTTTTTCTCTCATTAGACTTCACTTTCTAGGTACCCAGTGTTGCTCTGATTTCTAATTCTGCATGCCAAAACCCCGGAGAAATGTGATTACGGCAAATTCCTACCTCCATGAGCAAGCACTGTAGCCTGTGAGCCAGGCTGCCCCTGAAGTCAGAAAGCCTGGGGACCTCCAGCTTTGCTGTTTAGCAGTCATGCGGCCTTGGAAAAGATACCTCACCTCGGATTTCTTAACTGGTTAGAGATAATGCTGACCTCATAGGTTACTGTAAAATTCACATGAGTTCATGAATTCCAAAATGTCTGGTATGGCATAGGCACTTTTCTAAAAGGTACCTTTCATCCCCTTCACCTTTTGAACTGTAGTGTGAATGCATTCCTCTATATTAATTCCAGCAAGGCTTAAATGTTAAGCCTGGTGCTGGTGATGGAACCCAGGGCCTCGCATGCTAGGCAAGCGCTCTATCACTGCGCCACATGCCCACCCCAATGCTCTCTATTCCTTTATTCTCCATTCACAAAACATATGTTGAGTGTCAACTCAGTGCTAGAACAGTGGAAGACATAAAAGACAACAGTCAACAGAAGTGACCCTCTCTCTGCCCTCCAGAAACTCCTAGGCATTCCAAAAACTCCTGGACAGTATCTTATGGTAGATGGTGCACCTGGGCTGGGGCAGAAGGGCAAGAAAGCTCTAGGGAGAAGTGGCTTCTGCACAGCTATTTAGGAGCAGGGAGGAAAGGGGACAAGAAAGGCCAGGAACCAGAGAAAAATGACATGGTTTCCTCAAGTGCCTGACAAAGCTCAGCAGGGCTGCCCCAGAGGAAGAGTAGAAAGGCAGCAAAGAGGCTCACCTTCTGTTCAACTAACAGTCAACAGTTCACAGCTGTGCATTTACCATGGCTGTTAAAAGCTATCTGGTCTCTTTATCCAAGAGGTTGGAAGCCAAAGCCTGAGTCACTGTTCCCTCTGTAGGGCTTGAGTTTTAGGGAAAGGCAGAGCCCTTAGGTTGAGCCTCTGGGGTCTTTCCTTCCACCTTTTCCTCTTGGGAGTCTCAAGCCCTTACTAGTGCCTATTGGGACCTCCTGTCCCTAAGTAAACACCCCCACCATGGAACAGAAATGCAGGCCTCTCATAAAGGCAGTGGAGGCCTGTGATCCCCCAAGTGACAGAGGATGGAGGGGCTGGTCCCAGGTAAGATCTTCAGAGAGACCTTGGCTACCCCAAAGGAATTATACTTCCTTGCCGCTCCATTCCACACAGTTACACCCAAAATAACAAGCAACATCAGATCCTGCTTTTGTAATAAATATGACCTTTCCTGGGCTAATTTTTAGCCACCCTTATTTCTTGGCTTGCCCTACTTTGTTTGTCAAAAATCTTCGTTAATGATTAACCAACCACGAGGTTTAAAGAGGCCTTAGTCATTCTGAGCCAGGTAAGTGGAGTTACCAAAGCCTAATTGTTCCCAAGACGACCTACCTTGCTGGGGGTGCTGGGTCAAGACATTTCGAACCGTGGTATTATGATAAGACCAGGTCGTGCCAGTTCGGTTCTGCTGGAATTTTTCCTCTCCTTTTTCAGAGCTGTATTCCAGACAGTGGGGGCCCTGTAGGACAGTATCATTTCCATCAACCTCGGCACCCTCACCTCTAGCCCAAATACGGTCATTTGACACTTTACCAATCTTCCATAAAGTGCTATATGGTCTCAGCTTCCAGACAAGCCCTTAATCTGCCCTTTTCCAAATGAAATGCTCCTATAAAAAGAAATTCTGGGAGTGAAACTGAATCTAACTGTGCTCTAACCTTCACATGTAAACCATTCTGATCATAAGAATAATCTTATTTTTAACAGCAAAAGTAATCTAGTGAGCCCTTAAATAAAATATCCAAACTACTGAGTATTCCATCAAGGCTACTTTTAGTGAGCATTTTTTAAAAATTCATTTCCTGTTTGGGAATAATGTCAAAATCTTAGAGAGGTGTCACTCAGCAGAGGACAAGAGCAAGTGGCTGCCAATTAACAGTGTATGTCACACAGCATTTTATATGAATGATCTCAAAACTTTAAGAAGAACAATGTGGACATGCAACAGTGCAGATATTATCTACAGCTTGTCAAATTCTCACCAGTTGAGCACATCCATGTGACCAACGTGGATGAAGAATATGACCAGCATTCCAGAAGCTTCTCTGTGGCCTTTTCCACTAACTCCCAGTAAAAATAAATCTCAACTTCTACTAATATAGATTAACTTTGCATGGATGGTTTTTCATACTTGAGATAGCTGATATCACCCCACTTTATCGATTTAAAAATAAAAAACAAAGGGGTAGAGAGGAGTTTAATAATTTACCCTAGAAAAAAAACACCTGGATTTGAACCTGGATTATATAACAACAGAACTGGGTTGGCAGGAGGCTGAAGGTAACTGTAATTTACCCATTTTGTAAGGACTTTGTTTATTCTAAAAGTTTTATTGAACTTCTGACAGTTACTTCATCACAAAGGTCATTGGAACAAGTGAAAAGGAAAGGTCACACACCCAGAAGAAAATAGGACATGAAACCTTTTGCACTGTCCAGGTCCTGGGGGATATTTTTCTGAATCCTTTTTTCCCACCCTAGTGGCCTCAAACTCTTGCATACTAACGTGCCTTTTATCAAACTTTGCTCTCAGGAAGGGAAAGAAAAAAACTCATTTGCACTGAGGTAAGTTATATGCTTTTTACTAAGAATAAATCCCACAGCCATTTAGGTGAGGAATAAATCTCTAATTCCGGAACTTAAAGCCTTAGCCAGTCAAATGAAGAGAATGACATCGAGGGTCAGTGGGTCAGTAGGTCCTTCCCCTGACGCGTGACACTGTACCACAAAGGCAAATAATGCAAGGAGCCCAGGCTAAGAACGTTGAGTTGACAAAGAGCCAAAGAATTTGATTCTCTGGAGAGTTCACGACAGTGTTAATGACCAGTGTCCCAAATATGAGACATGTTGTACAAAACTCTGGGAAGACACGCCGGTCAGGGGCTTCCCTCACTCTAAGATTCTCGTCACACGATCAGCTTCCCTCCGAGCAGCAGAGCACCACGAGCGGCAGCTTTCTCAACCTCTGTCTCATCTCACGTGAGCCTCAAAAGTCCTGTTGGATTCTTATAGTGCACGTTCTTCTCCGCCTGCTCCCCATTCATTCACCCACCCATTCATTCAATAAATATTTTTCAAGCTTTTACTTTGTGCCAGGCTTTGAAGCAGGGTTAACAAAGATAGTGGTGAGCATTACCTCCATTTTATTGAAGGAGAAATTGAAGACCAAAGGGGACAAATTCAATATGATATTCTAAATTCAGTAACGCTAGCTGACTTTCAAGGCAGTACGTCAATAAACCCTCACAACTCTCTGAGGTGGACGCAATTATTAGCCATCCTCATTTTATGCATAGTGAAATTGAGGACCAGACAGGAGTTAAGAGATGACCTGAGTTCTTGCTTGTGGGGATGGATAGGCCAACGCATACCATCTTCCATAGAACTGGTTGAACATCTATGAGCCCCTCTGGAAGCTGAATGGAGATCGTGAGAGCTTTGACTCTGATGCAAATAATACAAAGGCAAGAGCTCTCAATACGAGCAGTGGGAGTCTGTGAAATTATTTGGTGGGCTCAGCATAGGCCTTGCTATTCAAGATAAACATCTTTTTTTCTTTTATTGAGTTTATTGGTACATTTTAGGTACACAGTACAGTTACACTAATTATTGAGATATTGTACCTTTACATGACAGGTCTTGGTTCTCATTTTTTCCCCTTGTCCCTGCCCTCCCTTCACCTCCTCCTCCCCTCCCCATTTACAAACACTTTATTTCCATTTTTTCATTTTCTCATATTTTTTTCCTTATTACCTTTCCCCTACCCTTCCCACTTTCCCTACACCTTTAGCCCTTTTCTTCCCATTTCACAATGTCAGTTATCTCATTAGGATCTTATGTACTGTTACAGTTTATTCACAAGAGAAACTATTCAGTTCCATTTTCCTATGGATGAGTCTAATTTCTCATTCTTTATGGCTGAGTAGTATTCCATTTTATAGTATGGACATACCTCAAAGAGCTGGGACTAGAAGTTCATTTGACCCAGCCATCCCTCTTCTGGGTATCTTTCCAAAAGAATTAAAAGAATCATACCAGAGTGATATATGCACACCCTTGTTTATAGAGGCACAGTTTGTAATAGCTAAAACATGGAAACAGCCCATTTGCCCATCAGTTGGAGACTGGATAAAGAAGATGTGGTTTTTCTACAAGATAAACATCTTTCAGTGCATCTCTTGAGAAATAGCTCTTCCAACCACATGTCAAATATATCTATTCAAATGGAACTAGAAAATAAACCCCTGGAATATGGAAACTCGGCCCCCTAACCTTGGACTTCTTTCTCTGTCTCTAGACTATAAGAAACAAATCTCTGTTCTGCACAGTTTCCCCAGGCTCAGACGTTCTGGTATAGCAGTGTGAAACAAACTGTAACCACCCAAATTGTAATTTTGCAAGGATGTCTGGCCAAAGCATTGAGAACAGATGGAAGGAGAAGGATACTAAAGGAAGGCAAGCCAGGTAGGGGCTGTTGCAGAGAACAGGTGAGAGATAAGAGTGGGCAGGACCAAGGTGGTAGCATAAGGACATGGAAGGAACCCAAAAGGGATTCAGTTAAAGCCTGGTGACTAGTAAGTGAAGAAAGAGGCAAAGGGAAATGTGGAATGGCTTCCAAAATCCTGGCAGGGCAATTGGGTGAATAGTGGTACAGATTTATAAAGATAGTGTGCAGCTTTGTGCTGAGCATGATACATGAATTAACAGTCCCATGTCATAGTGTTATTCTTATCTCAGTTTTATAGACTAGGAATCTGAGGCACAAAGAGGTAAAGTTACCCAAGGTAACACAACTAGTAAGTGACTAAGTCAGGATTTAGATTTTGGCAGCCTCACTACAGCATGCACATTCTTAGCCAGTTGCACTGAACCACAGTCTGCTGAAATGGAGAGTATAGAATGAGTAGCAAATTTTGTTAAGCACATGACAAAGCACTGGGACCTGTTGAGTTTGAGATGCCTGTACGAGGTCCAGACAAAATCTAAAAGGTTGGGGATGGGTTAAACTACTGGTTTTTAAAATATGACCTATGTGACATCACTGGCTGCTGTGCGGGAGGCAGGAGCCTGGGTGGATTTGCCTGAGGCAGCATTGCACAGCCTTGGTGCTCCACAATCTTTCATGACTTTTCCCACAGGTTCCCACTCCACCTGCCTTATGCAGAAAGAATGCCAGACATACTCAGCTGTCTCACCTTTGACAGAGGAGCCAAACACCCTCATTGGAGGAAAAATAGCTATTTAATAAATGGTGATGGAGGGCTGAGGATTTAGCTCAGTGGTTCTGCCACCTGCCTCACAAGCACAAGGTCCTGAATTTGACCCCTAGAACCACCAAATAAATAAATAAATAAATGGTGCTGGAAAAACTGGATTTCAACTTGTCAAAGATTAAAACTAGACAGTATCTTTCACCATGCACTAAACTAAAATCCAAGTGGATTAAAGATCTAAATATTGAAAGAGAAACACTAAACTTGCTGGAAGGTAAATTAGGTAAAACTCTTGAAGATATTGACAGAGGAAAAGACTTTATGAACAAATCTTCAGGAGCACAGGAACTAGCACAAAGAATCAACAATTGGGATTTCTTCTTTTTAAAAGCTTCTGCACTGCCAGAGAAATCAGCAGCAGAGCTAAGAGACAACCCAAAATGTGGGAAAAAAATTTTACCAGCTGTTCCTCAGACAAAAGTCTATTATCTAGAATATATAAAGAACTAAAAAAAAAAAAATCAGACCCCCCCCAAATATAAAGACCCAATTCAAAAATGGGCATCTGAAATGAACAGACATTTCTCAGACAAAGAAGTAAAAGCAGCAAATAAACATATGAAAAAAATGTTCAACATGACTGGTAATTCAAGAGATACAGATGAAAACAACACTGAGATTCCACCTCACACCCAAAAGAACAGCTGCTATGAAGAAATCAACCAGTAACAAATGCTGGTGTGGCTGTTGGGAGATAAGAATCCTTCTTCATTGTTGGTGGGAGTGCAGACTGCTGCAACCACTGTGGAAATCAATATGGAGATACCTCAAATAGCATTAGAAGTCCCATTTGACCTAGCTATCTCTCTGGTGGCTATCTTCCAAAAGAATTAAAAGAATCTTACAACAGCAATATATGCTCACCCGTGTTTATAGTGGCACAGTTTGTAACAGATAAAACTTGGAAACAGCCCAAGTGCCCATCAACTGGAGACTGGATAAAGATGTTTTTCTATAAAATGGAGCCATAAAGATGGAGAAATCAGAGAGATTTATAGCTAAGTGGATACACATTGAGGCCATACTCTTACATGAAATTAATAAAGCATAAGTGTAAATACTGAATAGTTTCTCTGGTGTGAAAAAGTAAAAGTGTAAATAAGGATCAAAATGAATAACTGATATTGTGTACTAGGAAGAAAAGGTCTAAAAGTGTAGGGGAAGTGGGAGGAGTGGGGGAAAGGTAA